TAGGTTTGAGGTTTGAGGATTTGTTTCCTAGACCATTTCTGGTACCAGAGGAGAATAGGCTGGCCTGCTCTGGGTCAGACCTATAAAAGCCCAGATTAAAGCTGTGCCTAACCTTGACTACAGCATTTTATAAAGCAGTAATTTTGACCTGAGCATTTTTTAGTACAAGTGCCAAAATAGAATGACGCAACGCCTTGTTTCTACAAGTAAACAACTTCCATCTTCCAGCACACTGTGAGATACAAACTGATAATGTATTTGTGCCAACAAATGATTACATCTGTAAATATTTCACATCATACCAAAATCACCAGACATAAAAGGAGGAACACTCCAAGACTGAGAAATGGCAGGCACACTGACCTGTCACCCTTCATGTGCCTTGCCTAGGAAAATTGCCAAATCAAAGGGTCACTACCACTGTCCCCCCAGCTCCGGTTCAAGTACAGTTTCTCCTGATCATGATACACAGCCCACTTGAAACTCAAACTCAAAACAGCCTGCCGCCTGGACCTGCAGTTCATAAAACTTCTGGTCCCCTCCTACAGAGACTTTTCCTTGTGTCAGCATCAGTTCTCTGCCTGTGCCTTTAGTACAGGCCCTCCGAATGCCACAGCCTCTTTAACCTTTCTTAGCCATCCTGTAATTGTGGGAAGTGTCACTGCAATCCGAGTTAGTAATTTAAGGTTGGAATAAAAGAACCTGTGTTGCCGACAGCTCATGGCTATAAAGCAAACTCAGTAGTAAGCAAATTAAGCCAACAGAATTGATGTAGCTTGTGAATTTATTGTTATTCAATAAATTCTGACATTGTGGAAAGATGTGTTTGTCTGCAATGATGATGTAACTCGATCATGAAGAGTGCCCATTACAGAATCAATCTCTTAAGAAACAGAACGTTCAGTTCAGTTCTAGAGCATTTGCCTAGATGCATGAGGCTCTGGATTTGATTCCAGCACCAAAAGAGGAAAGACAAAAAAAAAAAAAAAAAAAGAAATAGCACCCTCAAAGGATTGAAAGAGAATTGAAAGAAGAGACTTTCCGCAATGTGGGCAGGGTTGTAGGAAACAAGGGATCTACCGTCCTTAGCCTGAGTGTGGATTTTTCCAGGTATCACTTCAGCCTTGTTGAATGTATGTTCCCCAGCTCCCTTTCCCTGTATGTTTTCAGTGAGCATGGGCCACAGAGATTTCCACATGGAAATCTACTGATTAGGTCACAGCCCTCATGATCCAGTCACCTCCCCCAAATCCACCTCTGAATGTTGCATTGGGAATCCAATCTTCAGCCCAGGAGTCTTTGGGGCACACTTCATATGCAAACCATAACGTGAGTAGAGTGGTGACTTAGAATGCAAATACAAACTCTCCTAAATACCAAAAGTCACCCCCCTACACACACACACGACGCTGTGCAGTCAGGGGCAAGTAGAAGATGCATTTGTAACTGTAACATAAAGCAGTATGGAGGAACTAAAACCAAATGTATCAGTTGTATCAATAATGTCAACTTATAAAATCTTCCTCTCATTCTCTCACATATAATTATTTCATTGGCAAAACAGGAGTAATTAAAAAAGAAATCCACAAGCTTCCACTTCTATCAACCCACTCTCATCTGGGGCCACATGGGGTTTTTAGTGTGGATGAACTGGCCTGGAACAGTTGTCTTATTTTCTTAAAAAGTCTACCTTTCCCTGTGTGCTTGGCACTCCAACCTTTCTCATCCACTCAGAACATTACTCCGTAATTTCATCCCCTTTACTGAATTTTTCTTCATGTTTTGAGATAGTCTGATTATGTAGCCCAAGATGGCTTAAACTTGTGAACCTCCCTCCTCAGCCTCTGTGGAGTACTGGGATTACAGGTGTGCACCACCTTGCCCATCACTCTGCTTAATTTTCTGTACGCATATAAATGTGTAATTATCTTTCTCCAGAAAGCAACCTCTTTTGACTCACTTCTCTCTTGAGCTACCTTGTCATTTCTCTTACCTTCTGGACTTTATGAGAGTTGTTTGAAATCCCTGATTCCAGTGTGTTCCCTTCCATATTTCTTGAAAGCACTCCGTTGTTACTGAGGCCACCAGTGATAGCTAGCCTCCAAGATGACCCCATCAGGCCCCACCTCCAGGCACCCATATTCCTGAATGCTCTCCTTCTATAGCACATCAAAGTTGGTCTCTGAGACCAAGTCAGTATAATAAAAGTGGCATTTTGACCTCCAAAGCAAGGTGACGAGAGATTGTTGCTTATGCCTTGTTCTTGCCTGGGTCACTCATCTGGGAGATGCCAGTTACCATGCTTTGAGGGCCCCCAATAAACATGGAGAGGCCACATAGAGAGACTGAAGCTTCCTGCCAATAGCCATGCGAGGATGCCATTGTGGAAGTGTCAAGTTTTTGAGTGACTGCAACCTCATGAACTCCCTAGCGAAGTTCTAAACCAGAGAGACGCTGTGAGACAATGCACGCTTATTGTTTTAAGTGGCTAAGCTCTGAGGGTAATGTGTGTAAAGCGATAGATAAGCAGTGCGTTACCTTGTGTTAAGGGTTGAATTGTGTCTCTCCAAAGTTTATGTTGAGGTCTTAAGACAATTCAGTACTTCAGAATGTGATCTTATCTGGATATAAGGTTGCTACTGATGTAATTAGTTAAGATGGGGGCATACTTGAATACATTAGACTTAGAGGGCTGGGTGTGATTGTGCACACCCATAATCCCAGGCACTCAGGAAGTGGGGACAGGAAGGTAATGGTTTGAGGCCAGCCTGGGGGCAAAAAGTTATTGAGATCTCATGTCAACAACCAAGTGAGATGTGGTGGTCCATGACTGTAATCTCAGCTGCTCAGGCATTGCAGGTAGGACTGTGGTACAAGGTTAGCCTGGGCAAAAAACAAAACTAAAAATTAAACACAAAACAAAAGCAAAAAGGGGTGGGGACAGACCCTGATTTCAAACTCCAGTCGCACCAAAATCAATCAATCACGACTAGAGTTAGGCTTCTACAAGCCATGGAACTACCAGCAATGAGGAGACCTGGGACAGATCCACCTTTTCAACCTTCAGAAGAGAACATGGCCTTCCAATGCCTACACCTCAGGCTTCTAACTTCCCGAACTGTGAAGCAGATTTCTGTTGTTCTAGATCACAGTTGAGTTTGCTTGTTATGGAGGCCCTGGGAAACTAATGACTCCTTTGTGTCATGTCCTTTTCCCTTTGGCTCTTTTAAGATTTTCTCTTTATTAAATTGGCTTTGATTTTTATATGCCTTAAAAGTTTTATTTTGCTGTTTTGTAGTTTTGTTTGTGTCCTGTTTGGGGGTTCACTGAACTTCTTGGACTTGTGTATTTACATTTTTCATTGGTTTTGAAAAAAATTTTTCTTATGTAGCTTTTCATCTATATAATACTAAATCAAACCAATAAAAATACAGCAATGCATAAACTTGTGGTTTGCAACATAACACAAAGCAAGTGAGCAATACTAGACAGCAAGTTTACAGATCTTCAGCAAAAATATCTAAACCCTACGAAGCAATTCTCCAGCTTCATTTAAGCAGTGAGTTCTATAAGACCAAGCAAAAAAAATTAAATCTGAAGGATAAATTTGGTATGAAAAAATTTAACTTTTTAAAAACTCCCATCAATAAATAACTTTAGAGTAAAAGATAGTAAAATTCCATTTGCAATAGCAACCAAATCTTTGAAGTTACTATGAATAAATTTCACAGAAAAGAGCAGAACTGGTCCATACATAAACACGTTACATATTCATGCCTAACATTCATATGTATTTAACACACATGTGCATACATGTGAATATCTAGCCTCTGAAGGACATAAACAAGAACCGAGCAAGCGTTTACATTCGGCTCTTGGACTCCAGGTAAAGTGTACCTTCCCCCCCAACTGCACAACCAAAAACCACAGAAGCCACAGGCAGGTGTCAGGATTTAAGGGTGCGGCTTAGTGTGACCACCAAATAGGCCAATGAACTGAGTGAAAGAATTAAGCAAACCTGCCAGTTCAATCACAGGCAATACCCATGACAAGAAATCATACGTGCAGGATATATGTCCACAATGAAGAGGATGTGAGGTGGGCAAACCAGTTCTTCTCTTCCTAGTTTTATCAATGAGATAAACTCACTTCACCTTCCCTGTGCAGAATGAATAACGCAGCAGAGGCCAGGAATGGGTTTAGGAAAAATCCCACTCATAGAATCAGAACTTACCATTAACCCCACAAAAATGGCAGTCTGCCTAACTGCATGTATCCACATAACATAATTGTAATCAGCATTGAAGAGGCCCTTTTTCCTCAGGAGCTGAATTCTAAAGAACACCTCTACGAACATGTTTATTAGAAAATCCAAGAGATTTTGAAAACACATTGACATAACCAAAGCACTGAAAGAACAAGGGTAAACACTTTTTGGATTCAAAGACTATTTGAATTCTCTTTGCTGTTCAAATCTGCTTACTGATTTTTTTCCTATTGTAATTGCTATTTTCTTGAGCTAGATGGAAGCTTCAGGATCACACACTGACTACCCTGAGCCTATCTCTCTTTAGAAAAGTCTTAGGAAGGGCTTTCATTGGCTCAGCTTTATCAAATATACATGAGTAGTACAACTGCCATGGGTGGAGGGGGTACCATGGTTAGTTCTCTTAATTGTCAACTTTGCAGTTAAAAGGATTGAGATGTTACTAGATGTTTATGGAGACAGAGTTAGAAGACAAAAACCAAGCTGTCTGAGGTTTTGATAAACCATAAACTTGCCAATTATAAATTCTTCAGTTATCATAGGAATAATTGATATTGAATGGGAATGAAGTCAGATTAGATCCCCACATCTGGGAACATAATAACAACACTATGGAGAGCAATCAATTAACAACCAAAAATGTGTTTCACTATTTTAAAGGGAGGCACACTTGGTATAAGGTTTGAAATGTTGCTGAAAATTTTCATAGTTCATATCAAATGTTCTACCACATTTAGTAAATTAGCCATATCCCTCATCAAGCTCTTTGATGTTATAATGCAGGCTGATTTATGGCAGGAAAAAAATCCCATGTCCTTATACTAGTAAGATTTCAATCCTCTACACATAGTCAGAGTTTAACATTATGTAAATTATTTTTGAATTGTTGCCTGTTGGAACTTATTCCTTGTGAGTTTTCTGATGTGAAAGGAAGTTTGATTTGTGGCGAAATGTTTTCTCACATGTGATACATTCATATGGTTTCTCCCCTGTGTGTATTTTTTGATGTTCAGTGAGTGTCCACAGCCGGCGGTAGGTTTTCCCACATTCATTACACTCATAGGGCTTTTCTCCTGTGTGAATCCTCCGATGTACTCTGAAGGCTGACTTATGGCGGAAGGATTTCCCACATTCGTTACATTCATAAGGTTTTTCCCCAGTGTGAGTTCGCTGATGTTCCATAAAAGAGAACTTCTGGCAGAAGGTTTTCCCACACTGGGTGCACTCATAGGGTCTCTCTCCTGTGTGTGTTCTCTGATGGTATGTGAGCGCCGACTTCCTGCAGTAGGTCCTCCCACACTTACTACATTCGTAAGGTTTCTCCCATATAGTCCTCTGATGTACAAAGAGGTGTGAGCTTTTGTTGACTGAGTGCCCATGTTCACGACATTCATACAGATTCTCTTTTGCGTTCATTCTCTTATGTTCACTGCAGTTTGATGTCACAGTGGATGTTCTACCACATTCATTAAACACATCGAGCTTCTCTCCTATGTGAGTGCTCTGATGTACAGAGAGTGTTGACTTATGATAGAAAAACTTCCCACATTCATTACATTCATAAGACTTCTTTCCTCTATGAATTATCTGATGCTCAATAAGGGCTGACTTAGTACATAAAAACTTTCCACACTGACTGCACTCATAGGGTTTCTCTCCTGTGTGACTTCTTCGATGCACATTGAGGGCTGACTGACAAAAGAAAGTTTTCTCACATTCACTGCACTCATAGGGCTTTTCCCCTGTGTGAATTCTCTGATGTGCAATCAGAGCAGACTGACAGAAGAAGGTTTTCCCACATTCCTTACATTCATTTGGCTTCTCTCCCCTGTGAGCTCTTTGATGTAAAATGAGGTAAGATTTCTTGCCAAAGGCATCCCCACATTCCTTACATTCGTAAGGTTTCTCCCCTGTGTGTGACCTGAAATGTTCAGCAAGGGCTGACTTCCGAAAGAAGGTCTTTCCACATTCATTACACTCATAGGACTTCTCCCCTCCGTGAATTTTCTGATGCACAATCAGGGCAGATTTGTCAATGAAGGTTTTCCCACATTCACTGCATTTGTAGGGCCTTTCACCAGTATGAATTCTTTGGTGTCGAGTAAGGCTTGTCTTCACACGGAAAGTTTTTCTACAATCATTACAAACATAGGGTTTCTCCCCTGTATGGATTCTCTGATGTACAATGAGGGTGGATCTCTTAGAAAATGTTCTCCTACACTCCTCACATTCATTTGATTTCCTTTCAACATGACTCCTCTTCTGTGCAGAGAGGACTGGTCTCTGGAGGAAGGGCTTTCCACCCTTGTTTTGGTCGAAAGGCTGTTTTGAAGTCTGAGTGTCCTGGTGCAGAATAAGATCTTCACCTTGATCTTTGGCTTCCCTAACTTGATTATATTTGTGCTTTTCCATTCCAGAATGACTTTTCTTGTGCTTAGTATGGAGTAGTGGCTTCCCACATCCAATGTGTTCATCAGGAACCTTTGTATTTTCTTTTCTTTCCTTTACAACAATTATTTCTGAATTAGTTTTCAAACTGTTTCCACCTGGATCACATTTATGAAGTATTTTTCTTGAGGGAACAATATTCATGTCCATAGTAAATGTTTTTCCAAATACACTAGCTCTTTCAGTAATCAATGTTTTCTTGTTGCAGAACTTAATTTGCTTCAAATGTTCGTCTTGGATTTCTTTGTCTTTCTCTAAGGCATCATCATCTTCTAGAAAGGAGCACAATGAACAATAATCTGTGAGTCTTTAAACACTTACTATAAAATGAGAATTCATATAAATGCCTTGCTATGAGGGTTAGACTTCAGCATCCCAGGATTGAAGAATTTCAAGTGTAAGTATCTCCTACCTGGCTTACTTTGGGGAAAATAGTAACAACTAGGAAGGAAGGAAGGGAGGGAGGGAGAGGGAGGAATAATTCCACCCATACCAGACTATTTAACAGGGTCAAAGCAAGAGGAATCTAGTAAAGAATATAAAAGCCTTTGACACTTGACAAATATATTCCAAATCTAATATAGGTGGAAAAACACAACAGTCACAAGGAATAGTACTCAGTATGTACTGAGTGCCATATATCTACTTGACAAGAGTCAAGTAGAACTTAAGAGAAAGATAGTAAGACCGGGCAAAAAAGACCTCAGAAAGTTACAAAAACAAATAAACAAACAAACAAAAAAAAAACCAACAACAAAAAAACCATAAGGAAGGGGTGAATTTAAAATTTTAGCCGCAACTCTGCTAAAAGGGAACTCTGGAATTTGCAATAAAAAGGTGAGACTGGGGCAGAGTGGGGCAGGGAGTGGAGAGCAGTGAGCAAGACCTCTTAGGTACTTGCACAACTCTAACAGCAAGGGTGTCCTTAAATTCTTTGTGCTAGGAGACTGCTACATCGTAGTCCCAACCCAGCTGGGACTGAGAACAGAAAGTGAAGCTGAGTCATTTCTTAGTTAAACCACAGAGAGAAAAAAGAAAGTAGAAATATCATGTAAATCAAGTAAGTTATTTTTTAGAGACAGGTACATGCCTGTAATCTCAGCTACTTGAGAGGTGGAGACAGAAAGATTTCAAGTTCAAAGCCAGCCTTGGCAAAAATGTGAGACTGTGTATCAAAAAACAAAATAAAAACAAAAGCCTGGAGGCATGGGCCAAATGGTAGCATACTTGCCTAGCAAGTGTGAGACCCTATGTTAAATCTCTAGTGCCACAAAAATAAATAAATAAATAAATGAATAAAAACTACATTTCTTTAAAAAAATTATTTTTTAAAGATAGATATGAATGTTTGAATATAAAATATGTCTATGATAATTGTGGATGGGGTGAGGTAGGCAACAGAATACTATAGAAATAAAATGAAAGGTGTGGTAAAGGAGGAGCTTGGATTCTGGGGATAGGGCACATAGTAGCAAAGACATAAGTTTCAATTAAAGTTGTACATTTATTTGGGGAGAGTGTTTTAGGTATCTATGGCAGCTAATTGTCCTCAATCATTCCCAGAGGAATGTGATTACTAACCATTCTGAAACTCTCATTTTCTCTGCTTTCCACCTGCTCAGTTATCATTTCCTTACCTGTGTAGCTCTGACCTTCCACTATCCATGGTTCTTCTCCTTGCTCCAATTTGAAGATCACATCTGGTTTGCTAACATGAAACCCTGTGAATGAGAAATGACACAGAACTTGAACCAAGTTCTTTGGACTTCAAGGATGAAGAAGGTACAGGTTCAGAAGCTGTACAATGAAGATGCCCAGCAACAGCGCAGCAAACCAGGATATATTGGTGAAGGGCGAGGGAAGTGCAGGGAGCATGTGTGTGCATTCATGCACTCCTACACCTACCTCTTAATCATCTTTTTCCCCTGAAACTTGAGGCTAGATAATGAAATTCTACAAAGTCCCCATGTTCTTGTGACACAAAAGAAAAGCACACTCTCAGGAACTCTACAGGGATACTGCACTTACCAACTGAGATGAGGTTGCTGTAGTTCTCCAGCATCACATCCCTGTACAGGAGCCTCTGAGCAGGGCCCAAGTGTTGCCACTCCTCATGGGTGAAGTCAACAGTCAGATCCTTGAAGGAAACTGATTTCTGAAAGAATATGTTTAATCTTCAGTAATTAGAATTGAACAACACCAAATCTATGGGGATACCACTGCCCTGGCTAATGGGAGGCTATACAGAGGTATACTTTGTGAGAGGGTAAAAAAAAAAAAAAATAGAAACATTCTGTCACTGTGTTCATTTTTAAATGAATTCTCAAAATGTACTGAGCTTACACTATTGTCCTGGAGTTCTTGGATTTTCTGGATTATTGAGTCACATGAAATACTGATCTTGCTCTCAAGCTAAGTCCACTCTGACAGGGTGACATAAATAGAAACGTACCTTCCAGAAAGAGCAATCGTGATCATACTTGCAAGATAACGGGTGACCACAAAAGGAGAAAGCTAGCCCCATTCTATGCTATCAGACTTCTTTGAAGGGTTAACTTTTGTCTTGAAATACTGTGTTTTGTTGCAATGTGATCATTAAGAAATACACACAGGATAAAACTAGATAAGAGTATGTGAGTACTTTGTCTATGATTTTCCAATTCTTTTGTAAGTCTACATTTATCTAAAATTAAGGAGTAAAAAATGGGGTACCTTCTCCAGCTCTACCGATGCCCATGCACTCCCCGTGCTCTAGGTCCATTGCTCGTTTACCTCACCACCTGACTAGCCTGGGTCACCTTAGCCTCTCTTCCTCGACCTGCCACAGATTCTCATGCTGGTATGCTTAGAAGATAATCACATCCTTCTGCCTTCATCATGTAACTGTCTCCAACAGATAAATTAGCAATAGTCATATTATCCTTTCTTTTCTCTATGAATTATTCCCTACATACAAGTTAGAAGCTTCCTGACAAAAGCAGTGCTTACAATTAACTATAAGCACAACCATGGACAGATAAGGTCTGGATAACTAGAATTAGTGACTAGAAAAATACCAGAAGCAAAAGCCAGCAACAGTCAGAGAAGTGGGGAGATTTCACTTCTGAGTTACTTGCTCACAAAGACGGAGCCAGTTGCTTTAACAGCATAAAATCCACAGTGAATGCATTCACTCTGTGAGAAACTGAATGGAGTTCATAAGAAAGGAACAAGAAACCAGACTCTCCTAGTGACTCAGGTCAACGCTGTAAGTGACTCTGAGTGGACTAGTCATTCATTCAGGGCAGAGCTCACAGGTTCATACAGCACAACACAACTCACAAACATGAAATAGGGAACACCACTGTGAGCAGGCATGGGGCTATCAAGGGCAACAGAGGAGAGCAACATGGGCCTTACTCATGGGGAGACGCAGGGTAATGTGCAGGCCCTATGCTGACACAGAAATGCAGACGGTTGCCTGCTCTGTGAACACAGCCAGGGAACAGAAGGGACAAGAATGAAAAAATGGCTCCCAGCTATGGTCACAATGTGAGATTACAGAGGTAGAGAGTTGAGGAATAACTGAAACAGTAGGGGCACAGTTAAAAGCAGGAGCATAAAACTTGGGGCATGTTTAGGAAACAAAATGCCCATTACCATCACTTTACAGTGGTGCTCAGCATGGGTGACACCTGCCCCCTGGAACATTTTGCACATCTGTGCAAGAATTTTGGGCTGTCAAAGTTGCTGGTATGGTGCTGGTATCTGGTGAAGGGAGAAGGGACAGTAGTTACCTACAACACATAGGACAGTCTCATACAGAAAAGAAATGCTCCAAATTTATGTAAGTTTCTAATTCCCTAAATATTCATTCATATGGAGGACGAATCCATTTATAATGATCTGGGCCTAGGACCTTAATCTGTTTTTTTACACTTGATCATACAATGTGTGTGTAAACACACACACAGACCAGACTTTCCTGGAATGCAATACGGGGTACATAAAGGGAACACTGTGTTTGGTTTAGGTTGGAACTTTAGAGATTTTCACTCTTTTGATGGCAATCCTACCCATAGTATTTGGATTACAAAACACCACATCTGTATCAGTGTGAATCTGTAATGGTCACATTCATAGTGATTCCACCTTGAGGTATAAATACTAGATTGCTACTCTGACTTTTAGTATAGTTGTGTCTGAGCAATTCTCTATTAAAATACATACTTTTAGGGTCATAATATTAGGTGGTTCATGCCTGTAATCCCAGCTACTCAGGGGACAGAGACAAGAGGATTGTGGACCAAGACCAGTCCAGGCAAAGTTATGCAAGACCCTATCTAAACAACAAAAACAAAAACTTAAAAAGAAAAGGTCTAGAGGTGTGATAGAGCGCTTGCCTAGTGAGGCCCTGAGTTTAATCTCTAGCACTGAAAAAAAAACATCATACAATTTAATTTTAAAATAATCTGCTTTTATTTCTCCTGTACAGTTATACTGACTAAAAAAATGTATATAGGCAGATTACTTATAATTTTCAAAATAAGATAAAGGGAAGCTGGATTTTAGCTGGAATCACTAAAAAACAGAGCCTGATTAAGGTAAAGACTAAGGTGGTATCATTTCATTTGGATGCTCTGAGCCAGGCAGCAAGAAGAAGAGAAGTGAGGAGAGAAAGGATATAAGCGATGAGATGTGAGAGGTGTTACCACACTGCCTACTCTACCACAGGCCTCAAAGAGGCAGCAGGTGCCTCAGCAGGAGCATGCTGTCAGCACATGGGACTTCTCCACCTTCTCATTCCCCTTTATTCAAGGTTCACCCCAAAGTGAGTCAACTTGCCCATACTTCCAGTTGCACCATTTGCTTCCTTGGTCTCTTCAGAAGACAGAAATCATACCACATGGTGTGCTGTTCCACCAAGTCTAAAAGAGGGGCAGTCTTGTGTGGGTGGGTGGCAGACTAAAAGATAAAAGAGATGGTGGGGTATTGAAGGTTTTTGTGTTTGTACAAAATATGCTATGAAATGGATGTTGGGTTTGATGAAGTTGAGAACCAGCTCACCATGGTTTATATTGTTTGTCTAGTCTTTTTTCTTCACTTGTTTGTGACCTCTGTGGGGACAGAGATGGTATCTCTTTTGTTCAAGCTACACCTAGAGATACAGGAATTAAGAAAGAAGTAGGAAATGGTCATGATGTGAATAACTTTATGCCATACTAAAGAGGCTGAACTTTCATCCTGTATGTAGCGTGGACCTACAAAGGTAGTTTCCATATTGAGACATGATCAGGTTGGCACTTTAGAGGGTCTGCCCAGCTGGGTGAGTGGCTCAAGTGGTAGAGCGCCTGCCTAGAGGGTCTGCCCAATATGAACAAGTCTTGAGGTGGGAGAAGGAGGCATGTAGATCACTGAGAAATCTACTATGATAATCCAGAAGAGAGAAACTGAAGCAGGAAAGGTAGAGAGGGAAGGATCAAATTAAGGAAATGTTCTTAAGAAATTAGCAAGGCTTGATAACTAGACATACTATGAGGTAAGGAGTAGGCAAATTTAAGACGTATCTCATTTTATTCAGATTGTAGAGGCACTGATAGAGAATAAAGAGGAAGAAGCAAATTGAACAGATTGTAAACAGTTTCTATTTTAGACATGAGGACAGTCAAGGGAATTTGAACATCCTTACAGAGATATTCATCAATAATCTCAACCTGAAGTTCTTGGAGGTAGTAAAAGATTTCAGGGCACAGAGTTAAAACTACAGACAGCATCAGAAAATCAGAGTAATGGGTTAACCATAGAATAGCAATGGTTATGGAACAAAAGGGAAGAAGACTGTATAAGAGAGGAAATGATTAGAGTTAAAAGAGAATGTGTGAGTAATATAACAGAAATTATCAGACGTGCACTTTAGGGAGGCGGTAATTGTACTGTCAAATGCATGCAACAGAGTTTGGTAAAGCATGGGCTGGAAAATATCCATTTGAGTTTTAAATTATCTAGGTTACTGCTAACATTTATTGGAACAGATCCATGAGATGAGGGGAAGACAAACACATGACTGCATAAAGAGTTGAAATGAGACAAACAAGTAAAGTTTTATCTGCAGAATATAACACTGAATTGTTCCCCATACAACCTACTTTATTTTTAAAAATTTATTTATTTTTATATATTTTTATTTACATACATGTTACAAGTTGTTTTAAAAATACAACTGAAAGGGTTAGTAAGAGCGTTTTTTGAGAACATGCAATCCACTTATTTAAGGATTTACTACTGGATCATGGAGAACAATCAAATATTGTCTACTTGAATAAAACAAGTTAGTCCCCTATAATTGCTTTACTTTCCCCAGGCACAAAAGTCACAGGAAACCCACTGCATTTCTTTCATAGTTGGTTTTGGTAAAGCTGCCTTTGCAATACTTATTCAAAGATTATCTAAGAAAATGTCTATACATAAATGACAGAGAAACTAAATAGCCAATGTAAGGGCTACTTCATATTGTTTGGGTCTTTCTGGAGAAACTTGATTACATCAGTAGGAATGTATGATTTCTGTATTTTCAGATTAACTTTTCCAGCACTGATATAGTACTCTTATTTTCTCTGATGCTGAATTTTATATATTTCTCCTATCTGAGTGTATAAGCTATAAGCCTCTTAAAATCCATTGTAAAATGTGGGAAATAAATCCCTGAACAACTTACCTGGGATTTGTTCATATTCAGGTGCTCTTGAGAAAAGGCCAAGAGTAGTGAAAGAAGAGCTGGGTAAGGAAGAATGGGGAATTGGAGTCATGAGAGGTCTTTTACCCATAGCAGCCTTTACCCACAAGACACACACCCCTCCATGTAGAATGACCCTTTGACCAATATAGCACAGGAAGCAACAGACTGAGGGAATGTCCACTTATAGTTCTGAAATAATTACATAGAGCTCTTCTTATTGAGTGTAAACAAAAGTTTTCTACTGAATTACCGTCAATACATGCTTCCTTTGGAAAAGTGTAAAATAACCTATAAATTCAATACTAGAAGATTGGGTTAAAAAGTTAGCATACACAAAGTTTGGAACAGTACTCCAGCACTAAAACTGATTCTAGGATTAAAATATTTATTGGTTTAGAAAAATATTGATATTATGTCACTTACCTACTTTCTTGCTAATATGTTTAGCCAATGATATCAGAGAACTCAGAAAAAAGGAATGCAAGTACTTTAAGATGTTTATCTTTTTTTGACTGTTTGGTCTCCCGTAAGTGCAGTTTCACAAGAGGACGTTTTGCTAAGAAACATTTCTGGTTTTGTTTTCAACTTAAATGTGGTGGACAGAGCTCTGACCTGGGAATCAAGAGGCCAGAATTTAATTCTTGGCTCTGTCACTAGCAAACTGCCTAAATAGATGAAATAGTTGCCTTCTAAGTCCTAATTTTAAAATAAAGTAAGTTTTAGGCTGGAGGCGTGGCTCAAGTGGTAGAGTGCCTGCCTCGCAAATGTGAAGTCCTGAGTTCAAACCACAGTAACCACCAAATAAAGTAAAACTAAATGATTAAAAAAACTTTCCTCTACACTGTGTGATTCTACACGGGAGAAATTCAATAAATTCCAGGGAGCGTGGCACGTGGTTTGAACAGCTCAGAATAAACAAAGAAAGAAGACTGTATGACATGAGATGTATTTAGCATGTGACCAGAAAATCGTTTCCTTAGCTATGGCCGATACCCCGTCCCTCCAAGGAACCCCTGGTAGATCCTCCAATATGAAGCGGCATCCTACCAAACCCAGACCCTGCCCATTCCCTCATTTGCAGCTCACATCCTGTCAAGTTGAACTGAAGCTTTGCTTCCAGTCATCAATGGCTGCAAGTCCCAGGGCACCTGCGGAATTTCCGGGACAGGATCTTAGCCCTCAAATGCACAAACCCTTCTCCTTCACAGAGCACCGTCTTCAGGCAAGGACAGCCGCCGGGGGCCGTCCCAAGGCCTGCAGGTCTGGAGCCCAGAGAAGCCCTCCAGCCTCGCCCCCATCATCCGGGAATCCCGCAGTAGGGCCTCCCGGGAGAGACCAAAGCAGGGAGAACCCGCGGCCCCCTCCACGAGCCCGAGGTCGGCTCCACCCAGCCCACCTTTCCCTCCGACCCTCGAGGGCCCAGAGCTCGCCGCCAGCCCTGCCTCTGACTCGTGGGTACACCCACTTCGCCTCCAGCTCGCACCGGGCCCAGGTGACGCGGGAATCCAGAAGCTGTAGGATCCTCCCCCGGAAGAACCTGGGGAACCGGAAGAATATCCCGGTAGCGGTCCGGAAGTGGCGCATGCGCAGCAGAGGCCTCCGGGCCCCCTTTCCCAGGGTTCTCCAAAGGGCGCTGGTCGTGTTTCCGGGACCACATTACCCAGAAGGCACCGCGTCCTCATCCGGTGTAGAGGGTTCCTTTGAGGGTTTTCTGCTTTAGTTACCGGGCTTGGTTGACTGCTACAAACCACTGACAGAAATGTTTCATGTCGATAGCACTGCGACTATGGATGAGAAGGGAAAATTACAGACTGTGAAAGAATTCCCCGCAGTGTATAAAGAAAAACAATAATGATCTGTAAGATTTCTTCCACATAGATAAAAAATAAAATCTGGCATCTAAAATTAAACAACAAATATATGACAATTGAAGATAAATCAGAATATCTCTAAATATCTGTAAAGAAAATAATGTAGCTAGCTAGGTTTGGTGACACATACCTGTAATCCCAGCACTTGGGAGACTGAGGCAGGAGGATCATGAGTTCAAGGCCACCTTGGGTTACATAGACTCTTGTCTCAAAAAAAGAAAAGAAAGAAAGTAAAGAATTCATTAGATATAATACCAATTCCCAGATAGCTG